CTGAAGTCCCTCACCTACGCATTTCCTCAAACAAGAAGGATGAGAAATCCCTCCAGCAGCCAGGAGGCGAATGTATGTGTTGAGAAGGAAACTCATTAGAAAAGCAGCTTTCAGACTACTGCTCTCAACAATTAGACAACGGAAACATCACGAGTATCACCTTTCCCAAAGACAGCTCTGAGCTCCTGTTGTTAAACCTCAGACGCGTCTCTAGCACGTTTCATTGCTTTAGCCTACAGCCGGGTGGGGAAAAGCGGGAACGCGGTGCCTTTCTCCGGCACTAGGGCTCCTGACCGCGTCTTCTCCAAGAAGGCCGAGGGGTTTGTTACGAGCGGCCTTGGTGCTGGCGCTCCTGGCATTACTAGGGGAACAGGTCATCAGGCTGCTCTCCGCAGTAACTCCAACTGGCCCTACGCCCCCAATCCCCTGAAGGTTTTTGGGTAGGGCTAAGGGGAGATGAGAAGCGTTCCTGTTTTGTGGACAAAGACTTTAGGAGAGAAGCGGATTCTCCTGTTCCGACACATCAGACTCAGTCCTTGCGGCGGGTCAGGAAAATGGGAGATCTTGTTCCTGTACCGACGCTCGGCATTAAGGCACGGCACAGAGCACCGCTGAGCGCGCTTACGTAGGAAATGCCGAGCTGACCACCCGGCACATGAAGCCGTAGGTGCTGGGCACGTGTCTCTGCTTGATGGGAAGGGGAGGGAACTGGCACCAGCTCCTCTGCAGCCATGAGCCACCATCATGCTCTTGCGCGATGGCGCGCACAGAAAGAGCCTTTTGACTTGACCGCTCGGGCAGATGTGAATGCGAAAAAGTACAGCCTCCACAGATGCAAAACCTATCTTTTGCTCTCTAATATAACGTCCATCAGGATTTAATTTCAGAAAAAAAAATGCAGAAGCTGTTTGCCTGAGGGATGAAGCAGTGGTTCTGACAAAAACCGTACCTGGAGGTGGTTTAAACAAAGACAGAAACCCGGCCTTCCCTGGTTTTACCTACATCCACACGCAGCCGAATCCCTAAAGCAGAGAAATGAGCAACATCCCAACACCGAGTCTGCACACACATGGAAAGGGCACATAAGGCTCAGCTCACCCTGTGTGCCCCAGCCCAGCAGAGAACGGCTCCCTGCGCTAATCCCCAGCACACAGATCCACTGCTGCTCGTGCCAGATGGGCTGCCCAAACACTTCACCCAACTCCAGCTACTCAGAGATTTCACTCCCCACAGCCGCTGGTGAAGTATATTCCTGTCCTCATTTCCCTTTAGATTTTGGGAACCATGGGGCTTAACCTCGGGTCAGCCATTGGTTTTCCCTTGGTTACATTCCTTTCCCACGCACCAGCCCCTCTTTCCAATGGAGTCCTACACTGACTCCCTCAGCAGTGGGGTTTTAACGTTTCCTGTAGGTTAAAATCATGCAAAGAACATCCCAATGGATTTTTTCGAGGCATTTTCTACTACCAATCCGGTTTGCACAGGTGCTGAAATCTTTTCGGGAAGCCAGACGCTTTTGCTGTTTCATTCTGGAGGATCCCTGTTGTGTCCTGGCCTGAACGTGCTTTTGGATTTGGAGAAAGAAAAAACCCAATGATTTTTTTCTTCCATTAATCAACACATTAATAGTCCCATCTGAGAACGAGGATGACTTACAGATAAGTGACTTTCATACTCAGAGAAGGGAAAACCACTCTCCCCATCCTGCTCCTCAGGAGCACAGGCGGGTGTGCGTTAGGCCTCTGCCCGTTACGGAGACGATCTAGGCTGCTTCCCTGACCACGGAAATACTCTCTACCCTGGCTTTCTGCTTAGCAGCTGCACAGTGGTTTTCAAGTTAAGCTGTGTTCATCAAATGCCACTGGAGAACTCCTGTGCTCCCAAACCCCGCTGGAAAAATACTGACACGTGCGCCGACTTTAAGGTCTGGCAACCTCTTCTCCCTAAACCGTCAGCAAGAAGTTTTGTTTTGATAACACACCCCAATCGCATTTAGACACATCCTTCTGTTTTCCCCCCCGCTTTCAGCTATGATACCGACTGCCACTCCCTGTGCCCGACAACATTCCCACATCAGAAACCTCACACCGGCTGCTCTCACCCCTGGTTCTGGTTTCCTCCGCCCGTCAGCCCGTGGTGCCTGTTTGTTGTGCGCAGAACGGCCAACAAGAGCTGCGTCCGACTACACAATTCAGCAAAACGAGAGGCCCTTACACGTGCATTATCTCTTCAAGGCATTTATCCGAGCTGAGGAGAGCCCATCATTCAGGCTTTCTTCAGCTGGAAGCTCTTGCTCCGAATAGCAGGTTTTAGTGCAGAAGCGCACCGTTGAAGACGTTCGCTATCCCAAGCGACGGCACTCAGAGAGGGCCGGAAACGGCGCGCTCCTGCTTACACGTGAGCGGAAGAACGGCTCTCTGCTACTTAACACACCTACAAGTGCATTATTTCTCTGTATAGCATCTGGGTAACTTCTCCCCAGTTTAGCGGATCTTAGGTCAAGAAAAAGTATTTCAGAGGACTCAAGGATACACACTTCCATGCAGCATGCTGCCATCTAATTTCCCTGTCACGGAAACAGCTTCCAGTGGCTCACCCTTAGCAGTAAGTGCTTCCTGAATATTCTCTGTCTCTCTCAGTGTAAAATGTCTCTCAATTATCTCTCTGAGTAGTAAATTGTGAGGAATAAAGGGACTGTTTCCTCACTTGACAGGTAGTAGTGGAAAAAAGAGTGGAAAAACATCACCTATACAATGCAGTGACAAGCATAAACACTCCGTGTTGTTCCCTGACCTTTCACTTCATTTTGAATTGCAAATGGATTACTGATAGCAGAAAAGGGAGAGATATAAATGCCAGCAATGAGTAACTTCCCTGCTGCATCCCCCCTAGGATGCGAAGTGGGTTCAGCGGCAAACCCCCAGTCTTCACGGCTGAAAGGAACTTTCCTTCATAATGAACCTGGAACGTCCAAGAGACGTGGGAAATCTGTTCCCCAGGTTAATATTAAACTGAAATATGATCCTTTGGTCTCTAAGTGGGAACATCCGGTAGAAAACGCTGTTGGTCAGAATTTACTATCTAATCAGGACTATAACGAATTTCCACAGTTAGAGTTGCGCATGTTTTATATAAAAGCAATCATGACAGCACGCAGCACTCAACACTTAGAGCAAAGGCAAGTATTATTTTATAAGGCATGAAAGAAACATACATCATTGCAATTTAAAGTTAATTTTACGGCAATAAAATAATGTACTTTGTTGTCTTTTTCAATACAGAGCCCAATTAAAATATAACCAAACCTAAACTTTCAAACTCCTTAAAGCAAGAGAGCAGACAAATATGTCAAATATGTTTAATTTTTTTTTCAAAATAACTGATGGCAAAATGAAATATTTACATCACGTCATACTGTGTAAACATATAAGGTCACTGTACAAAGAAATATACATGCAAAATAAAGCAAAACTTTAACTGAAACCATAAAGGAAAATAATACACAAACATAACGATATGAGGTTGGTACGAATACATGTCCAGTTTTTGAAGTCAGTTGTTTTCTTTTAAAAAGTTTCTGTACAGCTTTACAAAAAAAAAAACAAACCAAAACAAACACCCAAACAAACAAACAAAAAGGAATAAATAGAATACAGTGGAAGCCGCAAAGCTCAAAACTAACCCAAGCTAGGTTATGGCTTAAGACCCATGGATCTAACTACTGTGGGACGTCGGCTTGGTTCCTTTAAACACGGCATTTCACACCAACATAGATGACCACACACCCACGTGAACGCAGTAGCGCACAGAAAACCACCTCCGGCTTCTTAAATAGCTCACGTTACTATTACTTCAACCTTAAAAACAGCTACTAAGACGATTACGTTACGTGTCAGAATCTCCTCCCTCTGACCACTACTTTCTGAATGCATTCTCCGCCAAAGAGCACAAAATTCATTTGTTCATTTCACAGAAAGAAGTAAACACAGATTTGAAAATTCTAAAAAGTAGTTAAGTGTTGCGACTGATTTTGGGAAAGTCAGACTTTGGCATTTTGTATATAATAATACATTTTAAAAAGCATCACCCTACTTCTTTAACCAGTCTGAGATTTGGGATACAAACACCCTTTTTTTTTTTTGTTTTTTTTAAAACAATCCTTAAAACTGACTAGTCTTGACTAAATTCTATGCTAACCCTCACCTTAAACTAACAGTGACCGTGTGGTACAACACGCCCGCCCCTGCCCACCCAGCAACCCCAAACACGCAAACAAAACCATAAAGCTCGCCGTACTAAGTATGTGCTTTTTCTATGTATTTATTACAGTTACAACAGAGGTCCTCATAAATAGTTGCATAAAATGTTAAAGCCACAACATTGCACATGATATGAAAGAAAACGAAATCCCAAATGAGTGCATTTACAGTATTTCATCCTGCTGTATACTGCTTGACAACCGGGCCGGTAAGCTGGGCACCAACCCCAAGTCCTTTCCTAAGGGGACAGCGAGTACTGACCCAAACTGAAGACCCGCACAGTGGTATACCACCATTTAGGAAGGAGGGGGGAAAAAAAGGGTAAGGGGAGGGGAGGGAGGGAAAAAAAACCCCAAAATACGGACCGAAGGCAGGTAACAGTCTATATACAAGTAAGGCCTACATTTTATCAGAGCAAAACAATTCATTCTATTTGTATGCAAAAACTTTTGAGGTTGGATGCACTTAAAAGCAGAGTCCGATCTCAGTGCACTGCTACGTGAGATACATACAGGCGAGGCAACTGGAAAGCTCTAGGACCAAGTGAAAACCGGATGTTATAAATGGAGGCCGTATCAGCGGGCAGCCGTTTTGGTGAGTCTTCTCCAGGCATGATTTCACTTTTGTTTAACACCAGTGCTTTGAACATAGGCATTTTCTTCCTTGAATAAATCTTGAAAACGGTAGTTGAGTTCGCTTGCAAAATTCAACTCTTGTTTATTAAAAAAACTATTTTTTTTTTTTTGCAGAAACCTGAATAAAATACTGTTAGTGTATCGCTTGTGAACTGCTTTTTTGCAGAGTACAGTGCTATCGTCCTCCACCCCAGTGAAGTCCGCATCGCCAGTCCCCCCCACCGCGCGGGTTCCCCGGGAATGCGTTTGCACACGAACATTCGCTAGCAGCTGGTTGGCTCGGGGTTTGCTCGCCTCAAAATTCAAGTCAACAGCTGATTGGCAGGAGGAGTCCGTCTCCAGTCTGATTGGTTGGCAGGAGGAGTCCGTCTCCAGTCTGATTGGCAGGTGAAAGAGAATGAGAGAGAACTTCAAGCAAGGTCAAACTCTGGGCAAGAGCCTGCTCTGTAAGAAGTTTTTAATGCTACGGATGGGTCGAACATCATTCTGGTGTTTTCGCCGCTCAATGAACGAAGTCAGTCTGGATATGTCAATGCTGTCAGCGCTTTTGCTGTTCCCCAGCTGCAGCCATTGCTCCTGGAGGGCCAGTGCAGCCGAGGGACGCTTAGCGGGGTCATCCTGAAGCAGGAAGCATACAAAATCTTTGGCCTTCTGGCTAACTCCTTTGAAGTAGTCATCTGGGAAACTAAAGTCTAAGCGGCAAATATTCAGGCAAGTTTCCTCTACGCTTTCATCCAGGAAAGGAGAGACGCCACTAAGAAGGACATACGTGAACACTCCAATGCTCCAAACATCTGAAGTGAGGGAAACAGGATTTCCAAGAATAATTTCAGGAGCTGCAAACTCTGGGTTTCCAAGTAACTGGTGGATATAATACGTGGTATTGAGCTGGACTGCGTCTCCAAAGTCAGCCAGTTTTATTGTCGGCTTAGCGGAACTCTGGTCCACCAAAATATTTTCAGGCTAGAAAACATAAAAGAAAAAGTTAAAATCTCTTTTTTTTTTTTTCCAAGTCAGTCTAATGAGCATTTAATGCTCCAACATTACCGCTTCCCAGCCAGTGCCGTCAGCTCCAGGACGTAGCCAACAGCCGCAAACTACGAGGATTACTGCTGAAGGCCAGCTCTGCGGAGCTCCTCGGCAGGCCTACCAAGGCTTCCCGCAGACCCGCAGGCAGTTTCTTGCCAACCACAGCACGCGACGGGTGCGTTTTAGCTGCCAGCGCTCTAATTTTTGCAGGAAATACAGTTCTGCCAGATAATACTGCAGATGTCCACAACAGCGACTCTGCAAAGTTTTACCGGAACCTGTGTTTGGGATCTTAACGGAGAGCAATTACAAACAGAGGCTGAATAAAGCAACTGCGCTCTTTCCTTTATGACAGCAAGACAAAACCCTCTCGTTTAAAGACTGGAAGACCTCACGAGAATTTTCATGCTGCTTTACTTGGTGCTTCTTTAGTGTAACGCAGCTGGTACAGATGTAAGTCAAGCACTGCTATGAGACTGTGGCAGCAGAAGATCCTGTTGGAAGCACATGGCTTCGGGAGAACGGCCCCGCTGCTGGCGAGCTGAAGGCGGGATCATTTTCATGGTCTTATTTCTGAAGCTACTGCTGCTGTAGCGATGATCTTAGCAACATCAGAGTGACTGACCTACAACTAGTTTTTAATCAGTTCATCTGTATGTACCCCCCGACTGGAAAAAGTACTGGTGAGCTCCATACAAGAACTAAAAAATATTAAATTTTGGGTCTCCAGGATACGCAGACCACACTGGTTCTGCTTGGAAAACAGAAGTATGTGGAAGGAAGATGAAGGCTCTTTTTGCTTTTTCCCTCACCATGACCCCTTTTGGCTAAAGTGACCCTGCCTACCAAGATGACTTGCCAGTGCTAAAATTCCTTATTATTCAAAAACAGGTGGGGGAAAAAAGTGCAAGTTTTTAATTAATATTCACACTAAGGTTTTCTTATATAGCTTTTCCTACTAGAAGGCATGAAATCCTTGTGGCTTAAGTATAATTCAAGGTGTAGAACAGGGGCCCAAAGAGGTACCATTCAGACAGATACCACAGCCCTCAAAGTGCAGAGATGAGAAATGGATTTGCAGGCGCACAGGAGAAGCAGTCTCCTTCCCAACAAACTATGGTTCTTGAGGAAGACATGGGTTTCTGCCACAAGTTTCTCAGAAAGTAAATAAATAAATGAAAACCAAACAAAACTGTTCCTGTCAGCAATTGCTTCCGGCACAGAGGACCACACAGGGCCAGCAAGCTTTAAGGAGAAAGCACAGGGAATTCAGTTTCTGCTTTGCTGGCTACAAATGATCTAAAGGATGTGGGGATGGCGCCCCAACCCATACCCTTCATACAGTCTCAAAGCAATTCACAGGTCTATGTTCCCAGCGCAAATTTCCCAGAAGAGCGAGGTTTTTATGCCTGGAATCCCATTCACTCCTCACCTTTAGGTCCAAATGTGCTATTCTGCAGTTGTGAAGATACTGCACAGCTTCCAGAATCTCTCCCAGGTAGAGTCTGATCTTCCCTTCCGTGAGGTTTCCCCATCGCACAACGTAGTCTAGAAGGCGACCCTGGTCAGCCCTATTGGAATTACAAGGGTTATATTTTGGATTAGTTCATGTATCACAACTGAAAGAAAAGCCTAACAGGCACAGACTACAGGAATAAACGTAGAATAACCTAGAAGAGGGAGGAACAGGTTATGAAGAAGAGATCTGACATCAAGCTACCAGATCATAATACTCCTAATTCACTTGTGCAACCACTTGCTATAAAATAATGCCTGGACCTTCAGACTAAGATAATCATCCACATATCAGTTTAAAATCTCAACTTGTTTCCTTCGGAGTATTAAACTCAACATTTTGCTAACAGCATTAGACAACTGCAATATTTTACTTAAAAGTTTTCCAATTTCTACAAAATCTTAAAGTTCCTTATTTATAAACCACTATAAATGCCCCAGAAATTCAGCTGTAGAGATTGAGTCCACACACATTTCTAACACTAGTATGTAGTTGGTGGAGGTCTCAAAGGTGTCGAGAAGGCCAATGAGCTGGGGATGCTGGAGATTCTGCATGACTCCAAGTTCATGGGTAACCTGGTCTCGCTTCATCAACTTCTTATTCACAAACTTAGTGGCTACTGCTCGCTTGGTTCCCTTCTGGTCACACTTCTTAACGACAGAAAATCTGCCCCTGGAATACAATGTTGAAAGGGAAGAATTAACTGAGAGATTCGCTGATGACATACTTTTACCTTCAAAGATACCCTGAGACAGATCTAATTTTAGATCCCTGATATGCCACCTCTGCAGAGCAGTAAACAGGAGTTTTCAGTGCATGCATCTTCTACAAAACGTGTCGGTATAATTATCTATGTCCTGAAAGAGATCCATGTTACCGCATTTGCGGAGGGGAACTCAAGTCATAGTATCCACCGTTCAGGGGTCAACACTAACTTGGACAAATGTATATTCTATGTGACTTATTTTGCCCATTTTCAGACTTTTTCTGTCTGTAATTTTCATGCATTAAGAAAGAGGTTTAGGAGAGCTTCATTACAGAAGCAGCGTCAGTCACTGTAAGGCATGCTAAAAAAAAATAAATCCCTTATTCTATGACACCACTTCAGCCTAAATACATTCTGTTTATGTAGTGCCATCTAGTGCTCGTGAAATTTTCACTTCATCATTTCTATTTAATCCAATGTTATTTCTGGCCTTTTAGGCTCATATGGTAAGTATTTTTCAAAGAAAATTTAATTTTTTTTAAAGACAAGGTAATACTTTAACACAGACAGCTTTGGGCCTCAGCATACAGAACGTACCTGCCAAGCTCAGCCACTTCACTGTAGAGGGAATCAAAGTTGTCTTTCCAGATTACCATGATCCCATCACTTCCAGGACCTACAAAACAAACAAACAAACAGGACAGTATGCCCCAAATTTAATATACTCAGATCCTCCTCAGAACTAAATGATTGTCAGTATAACCAACATATTGTTTCCGATGTTTGCAGAAAGAGAAATATTAGGACTTCATATTCAGCCTGGGAAGAGATTTCAGGAAGAATTTGCCCCAGTCAGACTGGCCTCTCTCATCTTTTTTTTGAAGCTGACTGTGTCCATATTGAAAAGCAACTCATGGCCTCACACTGTCCATCCTCTTGCAGTTCAGAAAGAAAATGACTTCTGTAACAACTGCTTCACTGATGGTTTGTAAAGACTACTACAGCAACAGAGGTCAGAGTATTCTTTACTCTCTGCACAAGATAATGCACAAGAACTGAATACAATCAAATGGCAAGTCCTTCAAGTCCAAAGGACTGAAAGAGACTTCATAGTTTGATGTTGAAACGTTACTTTGTGCTACAGCCTTAGAGTTTTCATTTTACTCTTATGGACTGGGGAAATGAAGGGTAGGATGGACCCAGAAAAAATGGTGCCAGAACGTCTTTGTAGAAGTATTGATAGAGCTGAGTAGAAAGGCTGCCTGTCTTTCGGAGTCTAGCTGCACAGTAAATTACACACCAAATTCTGGTTTCGTTTTGATTGAAAAGTGAACACTTACTTTTGGACAAGGTCAGTAAGACCAAGGACTGTGGCTGGAAGACGTTAGTTTAGCCTACAAGACTTCTGTGACTGATTCTGGTCAAATCACAGTTTTGGGCTTCTGTACTGGTGTAGGAAGGACACTCAAGACCCTAGTTCCTTAAGCACAGTTTCACACTGATTCTTGCGCATCAAGAGGTTTTTACTCCCCTGACAAGAAAGTTTCCCTGGCTGAGATACTATCAGTGGAATCGCTCTCTCTTGTTAATCCCCATATGACATAGGATGGCAACAAGATAAACTTGATCACACACCAAAACAGCCTGGCCAACGCAGCAGAACAAGTTCTATAGTGGAACAAATTCAGGTGCAGTGGAAACTGTCTGTGCAGGAATAAGTAACTTTGGCAAGCTGAAGGAAACAGCAAAAGTAATAGCTATCTTACATTATGTCTTATTACCAACAATACACCTGCCACTGGGATAAAAAAAACCCCAAACAGTAGTCATCTGACACTGTAGCAACTACCTGAAATAAAATCCACGAAACTCTCTTTTTCAGGAAAGCGTAAAGACCAAGATTTTATTTTCTACCTCTTTTTTATACTGCAACACACCCATCCTAGAGCGTAACTACCTGCTGTCTCAGGTCAGTGAGCAGGAAGTGCCAGGAATAATCCCCAACTCAATATGTTAGCAGTATGGCACTTACTGTGTCTGCCGAAAGGCAGAGCTCAAAGTGGTGGCACCGAGTATAAACCCCCAAACATTTCAGATGAGGTTTTGGAAGGGTCACATCTCTCACACTCTGGTTTCGACACTGACATTTTCTTTTATACGAGTCAATTTGAGACAGAGCCATTCCACCTAAAAGCTATTCATTCACTCTCACCAATGGATTAATATATGGGCCTCTGACTATAGTAAAGGACCCAGATAGCATCAGTTGTTACAAACTGCATGTAAAAATGTCTGCTAACCTGCTGTCTCCCTGTGTTTTCCCAATTTTTAAAAATGGAGGATCCTGAACACTGAAGAATAACTGAATGCAGAAACACACACTAAAACTTAGCACTATGCCATCAAACACGTCGAATAAAAAGGTTTCCATTTTTCCTCTTGCTGTCTGCCTCCAGAACACAGGCATTGTTCATCTTTGCAGGTTTCCTTTTGGTTCTCAGAAACATTGAGGTCGCCTCGCTTCAGGTACTGAAATAACATAATTTAAGTGTAGATCCATGATGCAAAGACAAAAACCAGCCATGTGCTCTCCTAAACACAGTGGCTTTACAATTCCAGCAAATGAGCATATTAAACACAGAGCAATGCTACTCATCACCTGCACACTGCAGAAATGACACATGCCAGCACAGCAACACTCACTGAGACTAAACTAAGAGTGCAGATGGAAAAAACATGATTTTATCATAGTATGTTTGAACTAGCATTGACAGACAAGGTGTATGCACAATGACAGTACTGTGTAGACATCCTGTCTGTATGAACCTCTAATTAGTTACATCCTAAAAGTGCACCAATTCCTGAAAAGTCACAGGTGAAAAGGTTTGTTACCATACTCCTTCAACAGAGGGATGCCCCAGAGCTGATATTTTCTTTTTCCTGTACTGTGGGTACCGGACACTTTGAATGTAATTAGATAAAAAAAAGCAAAGAGACAGGCCTACCTAAAACACGTAGACTGGCAGAAGATGAAACTGAACCCATATCGTTTGCAGCTATACACGTATAGATACCATCGTCTTCTGCAGTGACGCCAATGATTTTCAGTGAAGCCTCTCCTAAGTCACTGGGAAACACAGTGGCATCTGTTAATTTTATATTCATTTTACAGACCTTAAGCTATGGAAATCAGACAAAGTTAGATCGATACCAATAATATTTCTTATTCTTCAGCCTCTATCTCTCTCCAGACAAACATTACTAACCCTGTCCCTGCCATTTCCATAGAGTTTACCAGAATTTGAGCACTTTGTGTCCATCAGCTATTGAAAAATATGTTCATTGACACTCTGTCTCAGCATGTCCCAGGCTCCACTGTGTTGGAAAAATTAAATTTTTTCCCCAATTTCAGGGTGGGTGGGAAGTAAATTTTAGGAGTAGCAGGAGGTAAAAAAGAACAGTGTACCAGGCCATCAAATCTTCTGGTAAGTTGGGCTGTACCACAAAACCTCCAAGAAGATGACATAGTCTTCTATTTATTAATGAGAGAGTTTTCACAAAAAACCCCCCTTAATTCTGAACTGAGAGCATAATTCATAAATAAGACATACCTTCACACTGAAGTTACAAATTAAACAACATTTTCTGTATGTAAAAGAATGCTTTTCTAACGTGCAGTTTCACACTGCAAAATACAGAACTTTCTCTTATTAATCAGGTATTTGAGTGACCGGTTAGTATGTTAAGCTCTATTCACAGCACAGCTAACACCAGACAAAAAATATTCATTTCTGTGCTTCAACAATGAAGACACTGACACTGCCATGTCAGAGGCTTTTCTTTGCAAAATACTGTAGTGTGATCTGAAAGCAGTCTTTTGCCTCAAAAACGATGGTATGCTACTAATGGAAATAGAGGATTGGCAGGATGGATGTCACAGCACCGGCATGTCACCACATACTGCGCTGGTAGAAGCGCTAGGCGAGCGTGACAGAACCACAATGGCTTCTGCAATAGCTCATCAGAAATACCATCTGATTTTCCTTTTGTTTTAAAAAAAAAAAAAAATCAATTGAATATGACATTTGGGTACCCAAGCCATACACAGAAGTTACACAACATTTCCAGGAAATCTCAGCTGTGAAATATTTCCGTCTGAGGAAATATCTCAGAGGGTTGCCTGAGGGTAACCCTATCCTCACGGCTCAAAGCCAAAAGCTATCCTGCACCAAGGCTGCAAGCAGAAAATGTAAGTTTTGGCAGTTCCTGACGAACATCACACAAGTTACTGTACCTGTACGAAATGCTGTGATGACCGTCATTGCTCAGCGTGTTATGATCGGGACCTTTCCAAGTAACTGAAGCCTTGGGGCGACCACAGACTTTACACCTAAGCACGATGGTCTCTCCTGTCTCACATGTTACCTCACTCAATGGTATTATAAACTCTGGGGGAACTGGAAAAAGAAAATTAATGGCATTAGGTCAACTGAAGTTGCCTTTCTATTCCTTGCACTCTGTTCTTTCTATTAGACAAAGCAGTAGGGTATTTTAAATTTCCAAGGTGTATCTATTCCTCTGCCCTCGGAGCACATCCATGGTTAGGCCACTTGGCTGGGGCTCTGCAGAGCTAGTGAATTTTTCTCCGCATGAACCTGGATACAACACTACTGCTTTGGCACGGATAACCCTGAAGCCTACCATGGTGAACCAGACACCCTGTTTATGGCAAGCTGAGGAAACCCTACAGTGGAAAGTATTTTTTACAGTGGAAAGTATTCAGGAGGGTTGGAACTAGATGATCTTTAAGGTCCCTTCCAACCCAAACCATTCTGTGATTCTGTGATTTCACAACAAGCTCAGCGAGGCTACCCTTATATCCACCTAAGTTTGCAAAAGAGAACACAAAACATCCCATCCATCCGCTGAGGCACTTAAGGGTTTCCCTTTCGCACAGGTGAAACTCAGAAAGTTTGGTTCTGTGTATTAAGATAAAAACTCCGTTTGGCTCTGACCCCAGAGGGCCACTGTCTTTGTCCTGATCAGCCTCTGCACTGGAGATGCCCTGGATGTTCCCTAGTGTGCAAAGTTAAAAATGAAGCCGCTCCACCTCCTGGTCTAGTGATTTTACAAATTCAGCAAGGCCCAACTTCCATACAGAATACATCATATGGTCCCTGTGTTACATGTTGGTTTGGAGTTGTGAACAAAAATGTATTCCTTGCATCTTAAAAAATAAATATGATGTATTTCATTAACTGTCTCCCTTATCCAAGAAAGTGCTTACGTATACTTTGATAGAACAGTTCCTGAGATTATTCATATAAAGCAATTTTAAAGAAAGGAAATAATATTTCAATCAAATTATATTTACTGTGACTTAAAAAAAATTAAAGCAACTTACCATCATAAATGTAATTGGGGTTGAGAAGCTGGAAAGGAGAAATTAAAGAATTAATGTTCCGATAACCTTATAACAACTTAAAGAATGGGACAAAACGAAGCACAGTGATGGGCTGAAGTTGGCTGTACCCACAAAGATCCAAGAAACATCTAAACACCAGAATTTCTGTACCACTCTACCTTTCTGAAGCTTCCTTATACCATATCATGCTTTCAGGCTCCAAGATTACATCCTCCTCTTTTCAGATTTGGCAAGCACTGTCCATTAAAACCACTGTTGCCTCTACTTCCTTCATGTGAAATCCTCAAAAGCGACTTGTAATGAAGTCCCAAACACAACTTCTTTTGGAAACTACTACATCTTTCTAACACTCACCTTTACAGAAACCTTGTTGGCAAGTCCTTCTCGGGATTTGCGGTAACCATTTTCTAGCTTGCCTTCCCTTTTGCCGTCTTTATCTTTTTTCTCAGATTTCTTCCTTAAACGGAGTGCTGTGTGCCAAGACGTTGACTTCCTGAATGCAGAACATTAAACTTGGATCAGTATTGGAAAAGTATGTTGAAATATTATTTCATTGTATTAAAGTATGCTGAAATGAAATACATTAAGTGTTCCCTAAGAGGTGCTACCCTTGGTTAAAACTGTAAGCAAGCCAGTGAAGAGTTGTTGGTAGTTCAGTATTTCTTGAACTCATTGCTCGAATGGTAAACTTTCTATATGAAAATACAGTCAATCAAACTGAGCAATGATCAGTATGAAATCCGGATCAAACACAGCCTATAGAAGCTTTACATAAAGCTTTAGTGCTAAGAACTTTGACACAATTTCTCCCATTGCAGACTTGAGAGCTTCTCAGCACAGCCAATTATTTTCAAAAGGTTTGTGGCTCAAAGTAGAGATCTGGGAACCCTGAAATCTCGTTTCACGTGGAACAAACATTCCCTGACTGTCTAGCCTGATAACTCATTCTATTAAATAAACCAGTAACTATCCACGCTCTTAGATCAGGTATTCTTTCATCACCTTTTCCCAGAACAGTGCACTACTACAGCTTTTTTAATAAGGGATATGTGCTTCTGGGCTCTTTCTTCCTAGCTTCTGTTTTGAAGTTTGCTAAGGGACCTCTCAAGTACTGACTCTTCTTGATGTTCATTTATTTCTCAAAGATCACATCAATTTTCAGTTTAAAAGTTTCACAGCCTGTCTAAACTGGAAGTTTTTCTTTCTCCTCCCCTTCTATACACACCCAGGCACTCACTTGATGGTTCCATCAGGGTTGTCAATGATGACTGCACTGGTATGCCCCAAGACATAGCCGGGAATCCAGCCCTCGGCTGCAGGGCACTGATCAGTGGCGGCTCTGAACACCAAAAACATGTTCTGTTGGTTGCTGGCTAGAATCTGCACGACCTCTCCTTGGTAGACATTTATCTCATCCTCCTTCACTGCCGTGTAATCGTGTGTCACCAGCATGGTGGAGATATTGCTACTGCTGCTACTTTCACTCTGCAAGCGTCAGTTGGAAGCAGAAAGAGGGGAGGAAAGAAGAATCAAGTTTAAAGTTCATGAAGATGACAGGCTGTTCTTGGCCTGCTGCGGTACCTGCATAATCCACATAACTTCAGCTGTAGTGAAAGAAAAGAGCTACGACTTCTCTTTTAAAGCTGCCTGTATCTATTTCTTGTGCAAATTAGTTTGATCTCTGAATACCTTCACATACAGCTGCTGCAGAAATTTATTCCCGTTACTTTTACTCAAGATTACTTCCTTTAAGAGTCAGCTTAGACACAGCTCAACTGGTCTTCCTTACAAGCCCAGACAACGATCCTCACATCTTTATCGGGCAACAAAACTTCAGTACAGCACATAGGACAGTTTTTCATGGCCTTAGAGGTGCAGTTCCAAAATCGTAATCATTACCTCACCAACACTGGAAATTCTAACAATGTAAAAAATATACAGTCTTTCCTAGCGCTATTTGTCAGATCTCGGACACCAGCCTTCTGCACACAAAACATGACATGGTACAAAAGAACAAAACAGGCCTTTGAGTGTGTGTCTCAAACCCACAAGGCTTGTCCCTGGTTGAATCTGTATGACCAGGTTTATTCCTTTAGAACACACAGGATGAAGTAAATTACTAAAATAAGAAATTATTAATTTCTTGGGCAAAACAGGCCCCCTGAACTATCAGAATAAAGCTGGAAATCTCACTTCTGACTGATTAGTGACTACGATAGCTAAGTGTTGTTAGCTATTTATCATACGCTTTCAATAGTGTTCATGGATGTTGTTCATTTCCCCACCAAGCATTTGCAGAAAGCTAATTATCGCTGACCAGGTGTACATTGAAAGTCACGCTATTTTTCAGAACAAAAAGCCTTATCCTGGCCATGAATCCACTGGAAATTATTATTCGTTAAAAATAAGACTAATTTTGTCAATTTGCATGCATTTCTCTTATCAGTTTAATAAATGGAAGTGTGAAACCTATTATCAGAGACTATGCAACCTATTCCCTGAAATAAGTGATTTCCTTCTTGAAACAAGTGAAAACCAGAGACTGGCCTATTAATGATGTAGCATGAGGTGTGTATGTGCATGTGCCTGTCTTTTGCTCCTGTTCTTATGTCAAACTGTTTCAGGTCACTACCCGTGAGGGCCCACTATTGTGTAGTAGTAGCTGAGTTGAAGGAGGACATCGATACCCAGCTGTAGCTGGAGACTATCACTTATATAGCATAACCACACGTCAGCACCATGTATGTACCTGCAGTGAACGGAAAGCTTGGCACACAGGACTAACACAGGATCATCTTTTTTCTCAAAGCTGTCAAATATTTCTCCCCCCAGTGCTGAGAAGATGCAGCGGGGGTTAATGGACAGCATGGTACCTCAGGAACCCTGAAACCCACGTTCTCTTCCAACCTGCTAACGGCCTTGAACAAGTCAGTCCATCTCTCGGTGCCTGTGCTACCCCCCATGAGTGCTTTGGCTGAGAAACCAGGCCATTTGGAAAGGAACAGTCTCAGATTACTCATTCACAGCATATTCAGCACATAGATGCTTGGGTTTCCAGTGAGTCTGTACATTTTATTCTAGCTGAGCTACTTTATTCAACTGGGTGATTCTAGTCCATTCTGTCTTTTTTTCCCCTAGTAGGATGATGAAGCAAATGCTGCCACACAGAGAAAGATCTCATCCTGGATTGTACCTCTACTAAAGGATATTTATGTTCAGTCCAGATGGGATTTCCAGTAGGAGATCTCATTTTGTCTGGCTTAAGAGGACTGCCCGCACAGCCTTTTGTATTAGCAAGCCCTTTCCATGATTCAAGCAAACTGGGAATAGCAGAACCAAAAAAGAGTCTCATTTTCAGTCATTGTTTAATTTAAGATTACAACTTGCCAGATGAAAACCAACTCTATTCAGAGAAAGATGCTTTTGTTTACTCCTTCTGTTAGACTTAGAGGGGGAGATGAAAGGCTGAAGTTGCAAAACCAGCCTAAGCCACAAACACTATTCCTGAACACAACTGTTTCTGAGCATGCAATGGAATTTGTGTAACTTGCAGGACTGTCCTTCCTGTAACATAACATCATTTTTAATAATTAAGTCTTGAAGGATCATATTAAACTCTGAATATTTCTTATTTTCAACAAGGACAGATAAATCTGTTAAATAAACAAGTGTCTTGTAACTATCAAGTGACAAACGTTCTCTTGAATGTATTTATATCAGAATTTATTCTCTGCATAGAAAGCTTTTTCTTTTGTCTTGCAAGGAAGTAATTATTCTTGTACAGTTAATGTTTTTCTACTGCAAGTTCTGCTGGTCATCACTGACCTCAATTATGAGATTAGAGGAGAATTTACAATCAAAATACAGAACATTCCTCCCGTATTCCTGAAATACTAGCAAAACCAATTCCTTTTTCTTCTTCTTGGAAGTAACTTTTCCGTAAGTAACCAACCTTAACCATATGTGCATGTAAATAAATATACACACAAATGGTTCAATAGAAACAAACTTTCACAACCCATTTTCTCTAGCCTGTTGAACGTGGTATGAAATCCTGCTAAAGTACTGTCTAGAAATGAGGTTATAAATGAAGAATTATGACCCACCTCAGTTACCAAACTGAAAGAAACACAGCTGTGAAGCAGAAAGCATGCGTTCAGATACTACGCTTTGCAGTAAGATTAAAAACAAGCAATGGTGTCTTTGCTGAGGCAGTATCAAAATTCTAATGTTCTTAAAACTTAGTGCCATCCTACCTCTCCCTCCTTCTTTTTTTAATGGAACATCACCAATTAATACTACACAAGTCTTCTCAGCCTATAAAAAGTAAGACCATCTTGATTCACATACTGTGCAGTACTTGAGAAACACTCAAATTATCCCAGACACTGTATTAACATCACATTTTGCTAGGCTGAGGAAAACACAAGACAGAGCTAAACCAAATGAAAAGCCAAAGGAAGATTGGGATAAAAACACAGTACATGCAAAGCGTAATTTTTTTCTTCTGAAGCTACTATAAAAGTAAGTAAGAAGAAGTCAGGAAAGCTCTGTGTGTTAAACAGTTCTATGAAGAAATGCATGCATTTAAAAAACAAAAAGGTCTGGCAAGTTAGAGGATTTGCAAAACTGGTATTGCACACAATTGGTGAGAGGGGAAAACCAGAACATTGGCGAACACAACCCTGGGTGAGAGAAAAGTCAAATGCCAGTTTAGGAAGAAAGGCACGGTAGGCTGCCTACCACATCCACGGCCAGCGCCTTGAAAGGTTTGCTTTATAGCCACAGGTGCCCCTGCGACCGCTGCGGTGCGTTTCTTGGTGGACGTGGTTACAGAGAATGTGGATTCTGTCGATACCCCAAGCTTTCCGCGCAAACGCACCACGTGTGTATTTAAAAGGTTGAATCTCCAGGTGCCCTAAGCCAGTTCTTCTTACAAAGCAGAAAAGACAAGTGGAGCTGCTATGTTTTGGCTGTAGTAGAAGGAGGATTATTTTAGTAGGTTTTGTTGGCCTGTTTTGAGTGGATTGCAGGAAGCTTCCTTGATCAGACACAGGAATTAAAAAGAGGATGCTGTACATCAACTAAGGCTGAAAGGAGAGGGGGGGGAAAACATTAATGAAACCCAAAAATTAAGCAGCCCAGGGAACGTACTGTAGATGCCTCCACGACGTTAAAACTCAACGGGACAACGGTGGCGGATTTGTGCACGAAAGGGAAAAAAGCCCCAAGGCAATCTGCCAAAATCTCGAAGTCAGATTTAAGTGCTGGCCGCAATGCATACCCCAAGGTGCTCTGGCTGCCACGCTTCAGCATGTTAATTATCTGCCTTCAAATCAGAGACGAAAGAAGCAAGGAGAGCAAGTTAGTATCAGCCTAGTGATCTATGTTTTCAGCAGAGGCAGAAGTTGCATCTAATGTTAGCAGTTGCCTTTGTGTCTGTATACATAGCCATGTTGGTATGTACACACACACACAGAGGTAGACAATTTTGTTTTTTTTAATGCGCAGAAGATACTCGAACAGTTGATTATTTCAGAGCAGTACAGCACCGGAGAGCCAGAAGTTAGTACGGAGAGTGATGGTAACGCGCAGAAAGGGAGCATGGGAAGGTTTTAGAAGAGCTCGCAGGACAGAGGTGCTCCGCTCTTACCCCATTACTCTGGGTGGAGTGAACTGACTGCTCGCTGGTCGAGGAGCATGTGCTCATGCGGTCTGTGTCCTTGCTGTGTGAAGAGTGGCGGTGGACCTGCCGCTGGAGGGAGTCATTGTCCCCAGGGAAAGTGAAGGAGCCAGGGCGGCTGGCAGGGGATGCTGGGATGGAGCTCCAAAAGGAGCCCTTCTGCAGGGGGCTGCTGGGTGGAAAGGTTTCTTTGCCAAAAGGAGAAGGGAAAGTCGTGGAGAGAGGAGAGTTCATTGGTGAGATGGCTCCTGGCCTTGGCTTCCCAAGCGTCAGTGATCCTACGCTGTTTCTTGATCGACTGTCCTCTGAGCCTCCACGTGCGTCTTTCTGGGCTCCATCAGCTGGGCCAGAAATGTTTCCCGCTGTCTTCCTGGGACTTTCAATAACTTTCATCTTGGGAATCTGCTCAGCTTCTCTCTGAGGACCGTCTGGTTCTGCATTGGGAGGGTGCCTGTCTGGCTGGCTCAGGCCAGTTTCTAAGGAGGTGTTGTAGTGTGGCAGGGAGAGATTGTGAATGGACATACCTGACATCTTGTCTGCCTCTGCTTGGGCCGAGGCTGCAGAGGAGACCAGGACTGGGGAATGGTGTCTGACAGGCTGGGGGATCCGGGATGGCCGGCTACGGCTGGAGCTGGGGATGCCACTACAGCTGCTGGGGCCGCTGCTGTTACCGCTGCTGCTCCCGCTGCCGCCTCCACCACTGCTGTGGTTCCTCTGGTACTCGATTGGGGACGTCAAGGCTGCAATAGGGGCGGGAGAGGAGGCAGTCAGGGGAAGAAGGGCAGGAAAAGGAACAGGAACAGTTTTAAACAGTCACGTTTACTGGCTAAAGGGGAGTGCTGTTCAAATAAGATAAATTCCCTTAGCAATGCTGGTCATGCCGTAGACCTCAAGTCACTGTTCCATATCACACCTTCATGACCTGCTGTGTGCACCTCTATTAAAAGATGGAAAACCTGAAACCAGAGAGAAATATTTTCCTGTAGGATCACACTGTCAGTCAGCAGCCAAGTTGAGAAGAATCAAGTGGACCCCAAATTCTCCACTCACTGGTTCCATCCATTAAAACTCTTTTAAAAAAAAAAAAAAAATCTAGACTGGTGCAACAACCGATGGATACAAAAATACAAGAATCTTCTACTGTCACAGAAGACACTACTGTCTTTCTACTTTTTTCCTGCAGAATCTGAATGTTGTTGCCACAGTAAGATGTGGAAACAATGGCTACCAAAATAACACAAGCGAAATATACTTTGAATAGATGCTTAAAATTCCACTTAGGTTTAGCCTCTGAAGACTTGCATTTGCTTAAAAGGGGTACGCAAGCTCTCCACCTCAACGGATGGTGCCAATCTTGATTCACTCCTACAAAACATTTGGAAAATTTCACCAAAAGAACACCATGTAAATTCCGACTACCGCTCTTATAATAAATGCTAGCATCTGTTCTGAAGCAGAAATGTGGCACATATCCCCCAACTGTTCTGTATTAGCTCATGAAAACGGAAGCCTACAAAACATTTCAAAGCCAAGAAACAACAGATGAGAGAAAAGTTGTTCAATTATGAACTTTCAGTCAGGGGAAATAATTTACCATTTAAGAAGTTGCGCTGGTTTTCCAAAATTTGGTTAATTTCATGGATCCACAACTGGCGGACTCCTGGACTGGCAGAATGTAAAATAAAGGTCTCCGTGACATCGCCCGTTCTTGACGTTAGTGCAAATTTACATGGATCGCTGTCCACATTTTCCTCCAGGGAAAGGCAACTCACCTTCATGAAAAAAGAGAATTTACTTCATGTATTTTATGAGCAACATACCTCCAAAATCTCTGACTTAGGAGCTCAGAGTCAGATCTTCAAAGGATGACCGTTCTTCCCTTCAGTAAAACAATACCACGAAATGAAGGATTACAGTAAGTGAAGGATTAGTGTGCAGCTTACTGACACACTGTGCCTGAACAAGCTGGTCAGGATGGCCCAATGTTCTCCCATCATCCTTCACTCTCCCTCTGTGTTATTTAAAATGCCATGGAGCTCTACTACTGGCTCACACCGAAGGCTTCTGCTGCAGACACTGCAATGCCTCGAAACCAGCTGTCCAGCTAGTGTCTAAACAGGACATTCAGCTGGCGGGCAGAGCACTGAGGTAAATTCAGGGAAGCAGTGTCCACCCAAAATGCTTCACGAGGAGCGCTGGTCAGCCCTAATATCATCAGGTTTTGTTTCTGGGAAAAGCTTTAAGCGCAAGTAAATGCTTGTTGTTTGAGGAAGAGCTCACATGTCAAAGAAGGTGGCACTACATACAAATGTTACCGCCACATTTGGAATGAACTCAGCTGAAGGTCAAAAGGGGGGATACGTAAGGTGTTATTATCTTTATCTGCAATCACTTTGCAATGTGGTGTACACACAGCGCAGAGCAGAAGACAGAACTCTTGGCGAATGCTTCGTACAAGAACACCTGTTTTGGTGTGCACATGGGAAGCATCACAGCGCTGGGATCCCAAGATTTCCATTTATCATCAGTGAGCAGCAATTTGGTAGGAAGTAGTTTCAGGAAATGACTGACACCTCACTGTGCTTTATGATTGCACATCTAGATGTCACTAGTGACTCCAGACTGAATCAGAAACTGTTACCTTAGCAGAGTTTGTGCAGGGGACGCAAAGACTCACACACAAGAGTTACCTTGATACTGTTTTTAAACAAGAATCCGGGCATGGAGAAACCTTTCTTTTTATCTAGCAGCTCACTGAAAATGACAATCTGCTCAAACAGGAAGACCCGTCTCTCCTTGCAGCGTGGCAGAAGTCCCGTGTCCTGGTCTGTAACCAAGAATGTGTCCTGGAGCAGGAGCTTACCCTGGGCTACAATTTTACCCTAAACACAGAGGCAAGCAGAAACAGATTTAGTGCAGTTCTTCATTTCTTCCCCCAGCCAACCTTTTAGAGCAGATGCTCATGCCAAAACAGCTTTGTGTATTTCACAATTTCTGAGATCATCCTAGACACAAGACATTCTTGCACCCTTTCTCAAAAAAACACACACCATCAAGGAAAAAAAACCCTGAAAAAATCCACTCCACCCATTGCAATTCATATGGCAGTGAGGTTTGTAACGCTAGGGCTTTCACCTCTAGTCTCAATAGCTCTCACAGTAACTCATGTATTCCTCCAATGTCTTCCAGGGTGTAGAAAAGGGGAAGAATTCAAGTTCATACCTACATCACAGAGTAGGAAGGGCTTTGCAAGTAGAACATGTGACTAGGGTCTGGCTGATGCATACTTCTTCAACAACCAGTTTCCATCTCTTCTAGACTTAGCAAAACAAGAAGGGCTACAGTTGCCTCAGGTACCTTACTGACCTTAGCAACTCCTCCTTGGTCTACAGTACTAAAGTAAGGTCTGCTCAGTACTAGAGTCAGGTCTGCTCACCTGCCGATAACTGATTACTTCACTATTTTGCAAGTCATTAGTCAACAAGGGAACTGTACCACCACCAGTGCTTCCTAGACTTTGCAGTAGGACTTACCTAGCATGACTGACACAACTGGCAAAGTTTCCCAGGAAAAAGTCCTTGACAGGGCTAAGACTTGATTTTTCATTCGATGCTTTTTCCTCCAGCTAACCCGCTAGCGAGGGAGCCCCTTACCTCATTTCTCCCCGCAACAGTAACGGTTAATTTCTAGAGAACCTGAACAAAAACTCTTAAGCAAAACCCCAGCCAACTTACATCAAATCCTTGCAGGCGGCCAACATTCATCATGTCATTACACCGTTTTGGTACTATACACATGACCTCTACAGCTCTCTGTTCAAGACAAATAAAAAGTCAAAGCTTTATTTTTCCAAATGAGTTAGCAGCATAAAATTTTTGTTTAATTTGCTATGGTTGCTTTAGAACAGAAATGCGAAATGTCAACACTTATAACCACGTTCTCAAGAAGATCAGAAAAGGAACGTGACTGTCAAAACAAGAGAAGTGCAGGGTAAAGAGCATTCAAATCACTAAGAGAAAACGTCTCAAGTACCTCTAGCTCTGTTGTGTCAAGATTAGCTTTTTTAGAATATTTGAGGAAGTCCTGAAAAAAAGAAAAAAACAATAATATTAGTTCTTTTCCCATTAATTAGCACAGAGAAATCTTAGAAAATCTGAGTTTGCTATCCTTTGTCAGAGAATAACAGACTGTAGAGGGCTCATAGAAAAATTTTCTTTCTAGAGCTTCTTGCTGTGGTGCATTCCACCTCTTATTTTTTAAGATTCACTATTTTCATTTAGCTGATGAAAGAACGTGTACTAAGGCCACGACCTCTCTATTCATAGAGCTGCTCTTTGGTAAATTTTGAGGTGATGTTAAAACAGATGTAGATGGAAAAGTTGGGGCGAGTTCCAACAACTCATATCACATTTACTTCTGAAAACAGTTGGGAGATCCCTCTCCCTTTCCTATGACATTGGTACAAATTCTAAACATTTCCATGTCTCTGACTTGAGTTCATTTGGTCTTTAACTGTTAAAAGAAAAAGCCAAATTCTGCCCAAGCTATTTACTGCCATTTTTATAACTATCTGAATACGCTCAGAAAATAAACATATGACATTGCTTACAAATTTGGGTTCTGTTTGGGATGAGGGTGGAAAAACATCAGCAATATTTAAAATAGAAAAAGTATCTGTTTATACATATATTAAATAATTGATCTCAACGTCACTTTACCTTTAGTAACAGCTGATATTTCATAATTCTCTGCACAGGTTTTATTAGCAAGTCTGTGAGCTGAAGTCTGTGGCCCAGACGTTGCTTTAGATCCTGAGGGTTGCAAAACAAACAATTTTTGCTTGTTCAGTTAGAAACAACTGCGTTTTGTTTTGCTGAGTTAGAAACACAGCAGGATGGATATCAGAGCAGAAATTGGCAAAAGCCAAAGCAGAACCTAATCTTCAGTTTGCAAAAGGTGGAGACCTTCTCCTTTTAAGTATCACCTTTGTTTTCAAAGCATTGCCCTCTCCAAGCATCTTCTGTATAGTTTTTTTCTGAAGAGACTGTATAGTGAAACGTAATTTTTCAATCACAGGTTGTATATAGTCTATATTTAACAGTGATCTTCTCTCATCCAAAGCTGCCACTTCATATAATATACACTGTTAACTGCCTGGACTAGGGCTGGTAAGAATGAGAGACTACTAATTAATTTATATATCTTATACCTAAACTTCAGTTTTCTTCCCCTAGAGATTAATACATCTCTAGAAGCCTGTATCACACTTGAAAAATCAGAACAGGAATGGCAAGAAATTATAATTTAAACAGTAACAACGATGTGTGCCTTTTGTTTTGTTTGGGTCAACAGATCTGATAATGCTTATGATGTACGCACCCTTCACCTTGCATATATCCTCCCTCAGGAACTCACCTCAAAGAACGTATCAATATATTCTGAGACAATGTGCTCAGACTTTGGTTTGTTTTGGCAGTAAACTATGTACATGTGCAACCTTCTCTCCTAGAAGAAGAAAGATACAGAATCATACATCATCATCAAGAAAAAAACATGCCAGACTGAAATGGAGTATTATTTTAAGAAGTACAGCTGTTCAGAAGTATGAGCTTAAAAAGGTCCCTTCGAGGAAAAGAAGCGGCTATATATGCAGAAATTACAGATCTGAAAATGCATTTGACTTGAGAATATCATGATGATTTTATAAAGGCAGCACAAGTAAAAACATTTCCAGAGTTATAAATACTCCTGAACAACAGGTGTTTAGAGGAGATAGCTCAGCAGGTCCACAATCAAATGAAGTATGAAAGTTGCCATCTTTTTCTTGTAGCAAGAGCAATGGATGGAGCCTCTGAAATACCATATTTTTAAATTTAATAATCTAATTATTATTCTAATATATTAGAATAATGACCTCCTCCTTTTTAGGTGTACAGAGGAATTTGAAGAAACCTCTTAAGTCTTCTATTTAGTATTAGCTGTCCTATTGGAGTTTGAGTGGGGACATAGGTGATGTAGCCTGGAAATGGTGGCACTAGTATTTTTAAACTCTGATTCTGTATTTTGTGCACATGGTTTTAACACCAAGGCAACAAAGAAAGACAGAGAGTGCATAACTTCAGCCTTTAAGATTCATTCTTGATGACTGATCTTGATGGCTAAGAAACACAGGCATACCATATGTGTCTACTACCTACTCAAAAATCTTTCTTATCATTTTGCTCCTTTTCGTTGGCTGTTAGAGGCTTTGCTGATCAGATACTGAGTACTGACCAGTGAAGACAAATGGAAAGCAAAAAAGTAAGAAATAGGTTGGAGATTTAAAAGGACACAGAACATATTAAGAACAGGAACTGAATCGTCATGTTCCAGTGGACAGTCAGGGTTGTGCTAGAGGATGCTGTAATAGCATCACAGCTTGCCTTTCCATCTGGAGTGGTAAGGGTGCCTTTTCAAAGACAAATCAGTTACAAGTATACCAGAAGAAAGTAAAACAGCAATCAGAAACAGGGAGTTACTTCCTCCAGGTTTCCCATTTTAACACTGCCAGAATTCTCCCCTCTCCTCGTGCTTTTTTTCCTTTTTTAAACAGTCCCTCAGAAATGAAACAGCTCATTCCTCATCATTAGTCTACAAATCAGGCCTGGCTTCCAGTGTTACCATCCCAATAATGTTTGGTTCTTGTGCTCTTTTGCTACCCTGACACTGACTTCAAACAGACTGCAGGGAAAATCCGAAACCCATTAAATCAGCTTTAATCCAGCCTATCTTCAGTCTTTGCTCACTTGTGCAAACGATCCTGTCTAGCAGGCAGGCTTTCATTCTGCTGTCCCGTGTGTTTTGGAGTACCTTAAGACCTCATATCAAACAGATTGTATTTCTACACAAACTATATATCTACAAAAAGAGACACCAAAATGACTGATTAGTGGCATGTCTGATGTGTCCAGAATTTTGATATCTAGTTTCTAGATAACTAGCTCATCTGATTTCCTTCCAAAGTGTTATAATATCCATATGTCTAACATGGTCATTCCTTTTAATAAATAAATGAAAATGGAAAAAACAGGGACTTGTATAAAGCTTGTTGGACTAAAATTAAACATCGTGAGCTTCTGGCACTCTCAGTTCCTAACACAAGTGAGAAGGGAGGAATCTCAACCAGTCCTGTGATTCTCAGAAGGGGGAAGGATACAGAACAACAATGCACTGAAACTGGAAAGAAGAATGAACCCCTTTCCTTATTTTGTTTCCTATGTTCCATGGTAGTGCACGGATACTAGGGATTAGAAGGCAGGTGTCATGTGAAATTACAATTCCCTTGCTCAGAACTGCAACTGAATTGAGAAATGGGGCTCTCACTCATATTTGTCCCTAATATACTGAGGACAAAAACTACAGCATTTACTCGGCCTACTTATAAGCTTTTATGAGCTACCTCTCCACCTCTTACAGTGAAGAATATTTTACAGCACTTGCTTAACCAAGTCGTATCATGGATAAATCATTAATAATCAAACACAGTTAGTAGCAGCAATAGGGATTTGCCAACGAAGATGTTTGTGCTTACATGCTTAACAAACAGGGACCCCAGCTTTTCTGGATCTTCAAGGCACTTCTCCAGCTCTCCTAAAAAGAAGCTGAAAATAAACAGAGTAAGTACTTTTTGGTGACAGCACACACTATAACAACAGGTAATTGCAAGTCTTACTGCAAGGTCCACTTTGTGTCCCTTGTCAGCAACTTTGCATAAAATCTATGTCCAAAATTACAACATTAACAGTGTAATATTTTAATATAGATTTACAAAAGGACACAGTAAATCCATGACACCATGAAAAAGTATCGGCGTTCATTAATAAAATTCTTTAATTCCATATATTGACTGAAACCTTTTTTCTTCTAGTCTGAATGCCTGAGGTGCTCATATTGCCTTGCCAACCCCTAACAAATTCTTTAGACTGTATTCTTAGAGAAATCAGTTTTGAAAACAAAGCCTCAAACAATATACAGACTTCCTGTAACTAATACTATCTATACTATAGATTCTTAGTTGAAGCACTTGCTATATATAAGCATCCCTGTTTAAAACAAATCTTCACACCAACATCTGTAAGCTGGATCTACAGTATCTACAACTGAAAGCGTAAGACCAACTGTATTTACTTTGTATCTAAATATTTCAGAAAAAAAATAATTCTTAAGGTCAGTCTAGTATTTTTTAGGTAGAATTGTTCAGCGATGGTTTTCTAGTTAATACGTACTCTCTGTGCCAATCATAAATCTGGTGAATGTTTCCAAATACAATCTTGTCTTTGCCTTTCATGTCGTCAGGTACACCATCTTCCTTCATAAGTGCCATATAACCCTGCAACAGACCAGGGAAATTCACTGTGAACATTTTAACTTAAAAAAAAGTGAGTTGTCTTGGAATCCCCATTTTTCCCAGAAGCTTTCCCAACTGCCCATGACAACAGCTTGGCTTGGGATACAAAAGCAAACCAAAAAGACAACTGCTTCTGTAACATAGCATAACGTAGGGCATTGACACAAAACAACACAGAGTGGCTTGAGGTTGCCTACACATCACTGCCCGGTGCTAGGAAGACAAATACACTCCAGACAATTTAGCCTGTGTGAACAGGCTCAAAATCCACAGGACACTTCTTCAGCCCTACTCGTCTGAAGCAGCTGCAATGCTGCTGCAGGTAGGGCTGTTACCGAGTACATGTCAGCGCCGCTGAACGGGCTTCTGCGCTCCTTTGCTCAGCGTTTCTTATTTCAGACACCCCCGCTAACCCTATGCCAAGGTGCGCTGCGGAAGAAAGCAGCTGCACAGCACACAGGACTGCACAGCACAGACTACTACTTGTGGTATGAGCAAGCTGAACACCCAACTCTATTAGCATTCTGGCTGCAATAAAGTTCCTTTTGCATTTTCCCACGGTCCTGCTTTCTCTTTTTTAGTGTACAATAGTCGTCTCATGGCGTGATTCTATCCTGCCGTTAGAGCTGGGAGTGCTTTTAAATTTTGTAATATTCATGCAACTATATTACTTCAATTTTTTCCTAGTACTTCTATTCCTAATTAGCCAGGTCTGATTTTAGTTTGCAAAGTTTATGTTTTGTTGTTTAGCATTTTCAGAAAAAAATACATCTGTTCATAGCAATCTAACGCACCCTTTAAATACTGTAAAAAAATTATCACAATGCTGATCTTTCTTTCCCCCCTTCCCTTTAAAAGAGACTTTAAGGACTGAACCTCGTTAGGCTGAAATTCACTATCGTGCTCATTCTCTTTACTTCTCCAAATGCATTTTTGTTGGCAGCTGAAGACTGAAGGGAGATGTGTGATGTTACCTCATTTTAACATCACATGAGGTGATGGGGGAAATTAGGAAGTCTAAGAGAAGCATAGCAGTAGGAGAGGAAGCAAGTCTTTTAAATCCAGGATTGTTGCTCTATATGCTGAGCTAAATTTCTTTTTATTTCTTTAATTTATTTGGGCTAAATAAAACCTTCTAGCCTAAGATGTCAGTAGGCCAGAGCTAGTGATGTTAAAAAATGACACAGAACTGCACTCCTCAGATGAACAAGGTGCACACAGTAACAGGAAGAAAGAAGGGAACAAGATTTGATGCAGTATTTCTGCTATGTTAAAACCCGGCAGAAGGGAAAACTCAGAATGGAAACACTCACTTTTTCAGTTTGTTCCTTTATTTTGTTTTGAAAGAAATGGTCAGGTTCCAGCTACAGAGCTGGTCAGTACCACATTAAAAGAGAAAAAAAAAAAAAAAAGGACAAATCAAGAGAATGAAAAACATCATACCTCAACTACGTAGCCCAGATCTCGTACATAATCTCGTTCCGTCTCCACTAACTCCTGTAAGACATAGCTACAATGGAAAGATAACGGTGAACACATTGCATTAAAAAATTGAAACAGATTCTTACGGAGTATTAATGTCATAGAACTTCTTACACATCTGCAGTCACATATGTTTGATAAGCAGCGCCGAAATAGACTCTACATTCTCTCTAAGCAAGATGCTACTTTGATTTTGGAACCGACGCAGGCTTGCTTCTGTTTATCTAAAGTCAGATGTTTTCTTACACGTGTCATTAAAATTAAACAGTTAATTACTGTTTAAAATAAAATGCTATTATGTGTCTGGTCTGGAGACTTTTAAGTATATGAACTGTTATTTCTACTCACAGATGTAAATAATTTTGAAATCAGTCATGGTTTTGTTCTACCATGGTAACAGTTTACTACTACATAAAGAAATTAGGAGTGCAGAGGAACAGAAAAAAAGAGAATGACAATTTTTAGGAAGCCTAATAGCCATCTGAACATTTAAAGATCAGCATCTTCCTGAATAACCAAGACTGACTTGTGACAGAAGTCAACCACAGGTATGGCTAAAATTAAAAATCACAGGAAATTGAACTGCAACTAAAAAAAATTTCTTGGCATAATGTGACTACATGCTGGACACCTAACACAAGTCCTCCCCCTTTCAGACTAACAGCTTCTGCTGCCCATTCAAAACGGACATTTTTTTAAACATTTCACTTCTCTCTTCAAAGCAGTGTAAAAAACAGAGCAAAAACGTGGTCTTACTGTCGTCTTTTTAAGGAGCTGGATTTCCTTTCTTCCATCTCATCTATGGGTGATGAGGAGGAGAGAAGGGAGTTATCCGAAGGATTGAAGGATGGACTGCTGCTGTCACCTTGATCCACCAACAAGGAACTTGGACGATCCTCCAGGGCCTGAGAAGGTGTTCAAGACACACAGCAACAATGATTTATTTCCCCCTTATTCAGAAGACACATTTACAAGCAGCTGTATATGGGAACCTATGGGAGATCAATTATTGTAATGTATCTTGGCAAAGAAGGTCTCATGCTTCCAGGAAACCAGCCAACAGCTTTGCTTTCCAGATAACCTAACCTTAGAGAAGGACATTTGACATATATCAGGCTTTCCTTCACAGGAAAAGAAAGGATTTCAGTTGGTTTGAGCAGCGAGGGCTAGAAGTCAGACTATCCTGCTCCGGATGTAAGTACTTCTGGGGTGGAAGTTACACAGATGTGTGCTTATTGCCAGGGATTAAAGTATGTTTGGCTTTACTTTAGTTCTGGCATATGCAAGTTCCTTTCAATAATAAATAGGACATCTTGAAAGGAGTTTCTCTGGATGTTAAATTTTTTAACACAACAGAAGTGGCATTCTTTGATAGACATTTTGTTTATTATTAACTAGCCAAAATATTGACTCATTGAAGAAAATAATTACTTCTACACTGTCAGTGTTGCCTTTGAGCTTCATGACAGTTCAGATCCTAGGAAAGAGCCCCTGTCTTTTCTGCCAGATACACTACCTCCCTTGCACGGACTCCACAGCCGACTGTTTGTATAAAGGATGGAGAAGGCATGGGAAAAGTAATATGAACAAGCTTCTACGAAGTATTTATTGGACTTCTTTAATGCAAGCCCATGATCTTGGATCAAGCTACAGTTATGTATCACATTTTCCTTGCATGTGATACAGCCTTTAATGCAAGACACGTTTACTTCACCAGGGTGGGGTTCAGCTGTAATCTTTTTTTCTTTCTCTACAAAAACGTAAAAACCCAACAATGACACAACTGGCCCAAAAACCAGGGGAAGCTGACCCTTGGCTAGAACTGTGAAATGAGAACATCTCCACCCGGGACAATATGCATGGATCATTAAGCTATATCCACTGACAGGCTGCCTAAGAGACACATGGACCATCTAATTTTTACGAAGTCTGTGTTGAATTTTCCCCTAGATTACTTCTTACTGACCGTTCCAGTGCAAGAGAAGTAAAAAGCAAAGTTAATACTCTAAGAGAGTGCAGTTAGTATTTCATGCAGTAAGTGAAGTATAAGTCTTTCTGAATGAGGAAATGTAAAATAGAAATCAAAATTTCTCATTCTGAAATTCAAAGCTGCTTGAATTAAAAAGAGCCTGGGAAATGCCAATCTCTGGTAACACAGGATTGTCATGCCGCCATTCTCTCGTTTTCAGAGGCACTCCTACTAAGCCCAACAGTGTCTATGTTGCAAAAGACAGACTTAAAGGTTTGGAGGACATTTGGAGGTTTTGGAGGACAAATCACAGAACTGCTGATGGACCTCCTGAGACCATGTAGTCCAATTTCCAGGGTCAGCTAGAGCATTTTTTTTCTAGGATTGGGAGAAGATGGATTTTGAATATGAAGGACAGCCTTCCTGGAATTATCCATAAACACTATTTTTTGTCAATGGGTACCTTCAGAAAAACAGAAACTTTAAAACATAGAAACTTAGAAGAGCTGACACAAATTCCTCCTACCTAATTTGTTAGCAAACACTAAAAAGCAAGAAAGGAGGCACTAACATGCCAACTGATCCCTTTACTCTTTTACTTCTTTATTCATTATGTTACATAAAGAGCAGCTAGATTGCATAAATGTTTCTGCATGAGGGTTATCTGCTTTACTGCTGAACACTGCAAGACTTGCTATAAATTCTCAGGGATTCTTCTCATAAAAGTCTATCAGGCTAAGACCCTGGGTCTTTGCATTCAATTTACTAATAGGACTTTTCTTTTTTACTAATAGGAAGTACATTTTCTGCCATCACGTTTTCCTCTGATTTATTGCTTTCTGCTCCTCTACATAGCCATTTACTTACTCATTAAGTGCTTTTACAAAAAAACCCCATGCACCAACCCAGAAAGTGCCTTTTGAAACAAGCATCAAGTTTTACAAGTCGAACGCATGCAGCTTTTCTGTGAATAGCAAGTCGGGACTTGACGACACAACTACTTTGAACACGTGCATCTGCCAGTCAGCCTCACCATTTTGCTTTTGACGAGCTCTTCAATTGCACTGACTAGTTCTGCAGCACTGGGGGTCTCGGAGCTGGTCGGCCGTACCAGTAAACGAGAAGATGCCTGTGCAATGACACAAAGGAAGAGAGTCTCAGAGTTAGCCTGGCACTTGCTCAAGGACCAAGAGACGTCCTTCTCTGTCAAACAAAGGTACCCAACAATAACTGTCAGTGTAATATAACACTACGATCATCCCTTCCAACTTAGGAAACTGGAATTGGAAAATTTAAGTAATGCCCACAGCAGTTAAATCCTGGCATAAAAATTCCTATACCTACATGCAACAGAAGCCAAGGAAATATCCTTCATCTTGCCGACTATGATAATGCCTGATAAACAGCTATAAAAATCACCTGAATCAACTCAGTGGACAAACCGTTTGTTAACTTATTTTATTGCTGGTTAAACAAAGCAACAACTGCAGAACAGTAACGAGAACCAAGAAGATTTGAAATAAAGGAGGAAGCATCACTAAGCTATGTAAAAAATACAACAGTAACTCAGGGCATTTACTTTTCTAAAGGAGCTGGGGTTTACTGCCCAGATTCAGAGGGGAAATTGAGCTCACCATTCCTTGTGCCATCCATTTTCCCCAGTGGTATGTGTAGAGCACAGATGATCTCTGGCCTCATAAGCTATAAAATGCCAGTTTATAGATACAACTGAAGGTAAAAGGTGGTCACAGTAAAGGATTCTGGGAGGGGGCCATTAAATTCAGCCTCAGTAATTTGCAAACAGTTTTGTTTGCATATTACATGTATCATTAAATAACTGGAAAGTGGAAACAAGGTGTAATATGAATCTCAGTTCATATTACGAACAGCACAGTGAACGTCATGTAGCACAGGGCAAGCTGCCCTGCAAATGTTTCCAACAAACTGGACAAAGAAATGGCACGTATAATGACTTAACACAAGAGGTTCTGCTCAAATCAAGAATGGGTGTAACAAGGCTTCCCCTGAGTCAGTAAAAAAATAGAAGAATATACAGATTTTAGGTAGTTTGCCTTGTATTTGCCTTATACGGAAAGGAAAACGGGGATTGGGTAAGCAAAGGAAATACAGACAACTTTAAATGGAAAGATAAGGGAACTGAGCCAAAGCAGAGACAGAACACAAGTCAACATAATGCTGCACCAGAGTTTACAAAAAGAGAAAAAAAAAAGGCAAAAATAATTAGTTGCATATTGACATAACTGATCTTGAAACTTTAATACTGCTTATCCAAAAATTAAATGCAAAACAACTTGTAAACTGCCATCAAATATAAATCCGTGAAGTGTGCAACGATTCTGCTGAACAGAACAACGCATATGGTGCAGATGAGCTCTCGGGGGAGAAAAGGGTCGTGTTATTTAGTGATACTGGACAAATCAGCGTGGCCTAGCACATGGTGTTTGCATGCGCAATCCGACAGCTAACGTATCTTTCAGGCAGCTGTATGCTCCTGTCATTTGACTGCTGACCAGGTTTTCCAAAGCTGTGCTTGTATGTGGGTTTTCACTTTGGATGTGGAGCTCAGTTTAGCCTTACACAACACTGGCAGTGTTGGAATCAGACTCTGGTGAAGGTCCCTTCCCTCCCTTACTGGTCTGTGGGAGTATATGGGATGTGACTGCTGGTAAAACTTCAGAGCTGGCTGGTTGCCAGTTCACATGGTTGTACCACGTTATCTGAAAAAGAAGGAGCTACATAAATGAAGTCTGCCTGCTGACATTCCCGATGGTGTACTCCGAGAGCAGAATACACCCCTCGCACAGACAACAAGGAAAGGTGGAGGGAGCGACTGAGCATGCACAGGTGTGAGATGCTGCTGGAGCCCCCAACAGGCTGGAGAGGGAGGGAGAAACCCAGAGACCTTCCAGTATGGAGGAGCCCTGGAGAGGAAGAAATGCTCACAGTGAGACAAAGATGAAAGCCAAGCTTCTGAGGTCACGGAAAGGAGGAGACATTCCTTGGGATCCAGAGGAGCCCAAGAAACCACTGAGTGTGGCAGGAATGTGAAGGAGGACTCCACCCAAAAGGCAGACAACTGGGAATTTGTTTGCAAGCCTTTTATTAATCAGTAACTCCATCAACGGAGCCAACTGACTTCTGCTGGGTAAAACTTTGCTCTGGCTTCTCACTTCTGCGTTCCAATAAAGCATGTGCTTTAGGTACTGGAAACTGGTGGTATGCCTTGATGTGTGGACCTCAGGGAGGCACACGCAACCTCCCAGGCTGCAACGTGAGAGGACTTTCTGCCTCCCGCCATGCAGTAGGACAGATACTGGGGGTTGGAACTAGATGATCTTTAAGGTCACTTCCAACCCTAACCATTCTGTGATTCTATGAAAACCAGTGCACCACAGGAGAATCAGTATTTACATGTTTTGAAAAATTAGGGTACAATATCAACTTTACCAAATTTTGACTTCTCAGAAGTCTTCTCCAGAATGCAATTAAAGATACATTAAAAACTGTCCCCAAGATGTTTTTAACGGGTGCATGTTAACCTCTTGAGAAGCAGAAGTAAAATTTACTGGTGATTGAAAGCTATTTAAAGCCTCTTACTCTGCTGTGGTAAGGGTCCCACTTTGCACCAGGAATACTAAAGCAAGCGGTCACCCACTGACAAACATATCCCTTCACATAACTCTTCTTGCTGTGACAAGAGAACTATACCAGCAAAATCCATTTTTATCTGGAGAACTCTTTACAAGACTTGCATATTGATTTTTTTCTATCGCTGAAGGGACATGCAAATATGGCAGCTTATCAGCAGGGAAGGTAAACTGAAGTTGTCTTTATTTCTAGGCCTCAAAACAAGTATTTTCTAACAATAAAATATTCTCTCAGGCCTAAAGGTGGCCCATTTCTGCTTGTTTTGTTTCAGGAATATTTCCCAATATATTAACTCCCCAACTCATACATCACACTTTTTCAATTCAGGAAACATGTAGGAATTAAATACACATAGAGCATCAGAGCCAGACATTTTGATCCTACAAACTGTCAGCCACAAAATTACAAAGGTTAAAAATTTAAAGCAGCAAAATGGGAAGAAAGCAGTAACATGCATATTTGCTGCCCAAGTCCAGACTGTTTCCACTATAAAAACCTCTATTTCCAGGCTTGATACTTGTCCCCTAAACATTTGATCCAGGTTCAAAATTGAAATAAGCCCTCTCAATGTACAAACATAACATTCAAGAAAAACAGATTATATGCAAGTAAGATCGTCTTCATGCATTTACTGCTTACATCCAGAATTTAATTTTACCCTCAATTTTAACGTGCCATTTTTTGTAAGAACCAGCTGATTACCACTTTTATTTGGATATTAACTTCTCAGTACACCTTTTTCTTAGGCACATGCCCCCACCCCAAAAAAAGTGGGAAAAACACAAGAAAAAAACCCAACCACCTTAGAGTTGATGTAAACAGCTCCTTCTGCTAGGGCATGTATGTAGAAATTTCCCCACCCCCCCGTCCGGAACTGAGGCTATCTAAAATAGAAGGGCTTGGTGAACAACCTATGATCTCAAAAGTTTATGTGAAACTGTTAATGCCTACAGATAAACTTTATTTGGAGATAGTATTTTAACCTCAGTACCCAGATGTATGATTATGAAACAATTACATTCTAATCACTAAACATGGCATCAGTCAAACAGACGTAAATAGGCCTGCAAACACACAAAGCAGCCCATTTCCACATTTAAAGCACTAGTAGAAAAATTTCTGCACTTGTGCTTTTAGAATAGAGAAGCATTTAATTCACTCATTAATATCACCTAAAGCGGCACAGCGATTACTTCTGTCTACCATAAAGGTGTACTACACACAGTACAGAGACACATGGAAACAGAAGAAAGGTCTGTGCCAACAAGAAGTTATCTCAACATGTGAAGCCTTCCCAGCTTCCTCCTCCTACCTTGTCATCCTGCGAGTCGGGCTGGAGAAGACTGTGTTGCTGAATTGCCATTGGAGGAGGAAGTGGTACAGCATCCGCTCCCTCTTCGCCTTCCTCCTCTCCGCAGCTCTGCATGCCTGAAGAGGATGACTTGGAGAGAGTGCCACTGCTCAGCCCCTCATTCCGACCTCTCTGTAAATAAAATCAAGACATTCAAGCTCTTTTACGTCCTCAACAGCACAAAGCTTGTTGCCACAAGCCTGTCCTAAAGTCTGTTCTGTAGACTGACCCCTCCTCCAACAAGTCAAGGTGATCCTACGAACACAGTGCAACTCCTCAAAAGAGGAAGGAAAAAGCAGATGCCAGTTTTCAGAGAGTTTTCAGTGTTTGGTAAAAGCAGATGGATTGAGATACCGAGAACAAGACATTCAGCTTGGAATTAACTATAGGAAAGTGTTACCCAAGCCATGCTTGCTTTCCAAGTTCAGTTCTGTGAAGAGCCACGTTCCTCTAACTTATAAACTCAAGAACTTTGTATCTGAAGTAACAACCTTCATAGCAAGACTGTTAAAGGACATAAAAAACCCTATTACAACATGAAGTATTTTGTCAATTATCCTTTCTGCCCCCTCCCCCTTAAAGCAGTGAAAGCAGACTGCTTGTATAATTTTTACAGCTGTGTTGAAAGACAACCCTTCCAGTTACACAAGGAATTATGATTTCAGTTAGCCAAAGTTTAATGTAACTGACCTCACAGGATAGTTTAACTGTGTCTAAAGGAAAGCAGTATAGATGGTTACTGGTTTTTCCTGAATTAAAGGCACAGGCCTTAGGTTTTCCCCTCACTCACAGAACTGCAGAATAACAGGTACTTCCAAAACAACGCTACAACTGCATCACAGAGGGTCTCTTTCTATAGCCTGACATTCAAGGATAGAGGCCAATATTCCTTCCTAAACCACATCTCCCAACCCATCATGCTGCCAAGTCCTTAGTCTTTTCTTTCCAACATTTACTACATAACTTCACTGATGCTCCAAGCTTGCAGCAAAATATGTTGGAAGCAAGGAAAAAAAAAAAGTACTGAGTAATTAATTGGGCATCTAAGACCACTTTTATGTATGATCACTACTAAAACCGCTAGTTGGGTTCAAGCCTGGTAAAAAACTGTACAGCATGCAAGTGGCTGTGCCCTTGGAACCAGTAAGATGCCATTAGTTTCAGCCTGAACCACAGGTTTGTAACAGAATGAATTTCTCTCTGTCTGCACCTTAGTGGAGGCAAGCTTTGCTCATACGTGAGTTCCAGGTTTAGAAGGATGGGCACATGTTTGTGGGAGGAAGGGAAACCTTCAGTAGACGTCCTTGGTGGAAAAAATCTGGAAGAATTCTGTTTCTTTCCCTCCAATGAAAACTGCTATGTTTTATTATGTGACTGATGGCAACTATCTTCTTATTTGACAGGTCAGTAATTTTTCTGTGTTCTAACTCTTGCTCAAGGCGTAAATACAGCTTTAAGCGGTCAAGCAGATCTCCCTATATTTTCCCTGATCCATCAACAAGAAAAAGAAAGGCAATACAAAATGACCCAATTATTCCCAGAACATGAAGCACCTTTACTCACGAAGCTGCTTTCCTGAGCAAGATAAGAGAGCAATGCCAAAGAACAACTTTTTACTGTCCCTTTTCTCTCTTTCAACTAGAGATCCTTCTCCACAAAGCTTTACTAACACTCTCAATGCAGAAGGGCACAAACTGCGCCTGGCACAGTACTTAAGCAGAATAGAGTGGTCACCAACAACAGGCACATGGAACTTCGGCTCAACTGCTGGACAGTCAACTGAAGAGACAACCTTCACCCGACATTTAGTTCTTTGAAAAACAAAAACGAGTCTCAGGAAGCTGCTCTGAACGCTTACCTCCTCAACAGTTTCATCTTGTGGGGTTGCTGCACTATCATCAGAGTCCTTCTGAGAGCCCGCATCGGCACTTTTACGAACCTCTCTACTCTTCTTATGCTTGTGGGCCAGTTTTTTGACATGCCCGTCTGCTTTTCCACTGCTGAGACGTCTCACGGGACTGGTAAGCCACTTTCTCAACGTGTTGCCAGGGCGCTTGGGACCTGGGGAGCTTTGGGCACCGATCATGTGGGGCTGAAGTGATGTTACTGAAGCAGGAGGACTGGCATCATTGCTGGAGACCGAAAGGGAGTCTGGAAAAAGAATGAGGGGAGCATTTTAAAGCTGAAACACTGGTAAGTGAGATACCAGGCAAATGACAGATGTAATAATGGATATCAGACTGGATTTATGGACGCATTGACCAGATGATTCTGAAGTAACCTGGCCTTTGACAGCACCACAACTATCAGTGTTCATGCTACACATGGCTACCCACACCTCAGCACCATTTATACGCTTACAGCAATCAAGCTTAATTAAGTTGTTTCTGTCTCAACTATAATTTATACCTACCACTGCTGATACTTATTTGAGAGTAGATTATGCTTTCCATATGTCATCTAACTTTATGGAAGGATATGCTTGTTTTATCTTGTAACGTATACTGCTTTGAGCATGGACATGAAGAGTAAGAATAATTGCCTACCCTTGGGACAAGGGGAAGAAGAATCCAGAAAACAGCTAAATGTCTGTCTTTTGCCTAAACCTTCTCAAAGTTTTGGCTGTTGCTTTGCTTGTTTTTTTTTTAAAAAGGCACAGGATATCAATGTTTAAAAGCCCTTTTGCTCAAATCTCAGGATCAGCAGTATTTCTCAGCATGACAATCCTGAAGCTCTATAGTCAAACCATAGTTATATGTACACAAGGTCAACGCTGTTTTCCCACCAATGCCCCTGTCACTTGAACTGGACTGTATACTTACGATAAACACCCACTGGATAGCTACTGTTAAGCTACGTTTCTTTTTTCCACATGCAGCACAATGCTTTTCCACCCAGAAACTCTCTTTTCCTAAAAACATACTTTGTTTGGGGACGTATTTTCGTAACACTGCTCCTATGAATATTATGTACCACTAGGGTATTAACAAGACTTCCCTAGGTTGTCAAATATGGGTGTTTTTCCCCTGTGTGTGTACTTTTGTAGATAGAGAGTTTATATAAGGATGACATAAATGATGTTTTGTTGAATTTTTCTACTGCTGGGAATTAAATGCAGCACTTGTGCTCCTTCTTGAAGCTTGACACAGATGTTCAGGTCACCTCTTCTGGCAGCTTTTCCATAAGAGGCATAATGCCAGTCTGGCTAGAGGTAGTTTAAATTTTGTAGCATAATACAGTCACACTGATGTAGCAATACACTTCACTGTAAACACCCAAATGCCTTGGATCTGCACACAAGTATGGAGCCTCCGATGCTTCCATAGAGTATTAGGTGCAAATTATGGTTTTGAACTGAGATGGGGAGACATAAAATTTGAATGTAGTAAGTTAGGTATTTTTATTTTTTCCTTCACTGTTCAAGCCGTTCCAAAAAGGGCATCCTTTCCTTGGAATGCAAAAAAGTGATGTATTTTGAAGATTTTCCTCTGTTCTAACAAAACCCAAGTAACACGTGACCATTAAGATACATCAGCTCTAATGCCACGAACTCCTGTAGGTCATACGCTAAGAACACACACATAATAATTGCAATGAACCTCCACTTTCATCCCGTTTCCATAAAAGAGAAAGTAAAAAAAATAAATTCATAAAACATACTTGGAGTCCAAAATGCTAGTTGCTAACACTTTAAAGTAAGTCATCCAGAATCGGGATTCATCTACGGAATTATCTTCTAGCCACAGCTCTAGCTCAGCTGCATATGCACAAGGAGCCTTCCTATGATGCCATTAACCTGGTTTCAAGGCTTTAAGTAATGGGTACTACCAAAAAGCAGACGCAGAGTTACACTAGCGGTTTTTTTTTTGCTAAATCCTGGGATAGCAGTGCTTTAGAATTACCACATCATTTTCTTGTTGAAGCAGGAAACATAAGGAAGAAATTAATTATGTGTAATAGTGGTTTTCAACTTGCAATCTGAGTATCCCTCAAGGCCCCTGGATTGCTGCTTAAGGGTCCTCAGAACATACGTAAGAAAAGCAAGTCTACTAGCCATCAGCATCTACATCATGACAGATTTTTTTTTTTTACTTTATTTAAAAAAAGGTCGTCTGCTTATTAAAAAAATTCCAAACAAAACTTGCAACCATCTGCAAGCTCTCCACAGGAATCCAAACAATCTCCTGTTAAACCTCTGTAGGAAGTTAGTTTTATCGCTCTTTCACCAAACCCAACTTTACCTTTATTGTATCCTTTCTTTTAACCTTTATTTCTCTTTTAATTTTTATCAGATGCCTTGTTTCAGAAACCAATAGCAAACATCAAGTGATGGGTATTTCAATAAACAACCTTCTGCCACACTGCTAGTAGAACACAGAAGAGGAGAAAACGGAGATGGTATTCTTGCAAATGAGTTTCTTAAGGCACAAACTAAATGCTTTGTTTTCAAGACTCCCATGCTTGAAGTTGTTATAATCACTCTGCCAAGTTTTTCTTTCATTTTTATATATTTTTCCTCCAAATAATGGTTCATGCAAGTTCCTTCCATACACATATAATAGAGCACATTCACTTGTTTATTAAAAAAAAATACCCAAACCAATGAAGCCTTCACAGAAGTTCACCATGTACTGTTTCGCATTTTTGTATCTGTTGCATTTCTTTCCCCTTACAACTACTCCTTTCTAAGAAAAAGGCAACGTCGTGGTGCAGTAACTGATTGCGTAAGATTTACTTTTACATGAACATGCCTATCCCTAAGCATGTAACATCCCTGCAGTTAAACTTATTTTTCTTTTTTATAAAACCTGTGTTCCACCTCCTCAAATTCTCACCCATCCTTTTGACAATCAACACTTAACTACTGAATTTCTTGGAAAAAAACAAGCAGTACAATGCAGAGCCCCTGACACTGTGGCAGACATTTTTGTCTGACTGCACATTTGCTGTACCACTCCTACTCTTACCCGAATCGTCCAAGAGTTTGTGGGCAGGAGGAAGGAAGAGAGCAGGAAGAAATACATACACTCCACTCAAGTGGAGAGGATCTGAGGGACAAAACAATGTTAGCCAGGCTTGTTTCGCAGCACATAGTTTAGCCATATCCTCCCACACAGTATTACTTTTCATTTGGCGAGCAGCATGTAACTGTTTCTCATCTCCTCTTCTGCATGATTTAATATGAAGTACTTATTGAAGTATTATTAGGGCTTCAGGGAATCATAAAAGTGGACGAAGTGTAAGCAGTACACCAAAATGATAGCACTGTTCCACTTTACCCTTTAAAGCATGAAAGTTCTATGGGAGAAGGAAAAGCTTAAAATGAATAAAAATGTTGCATTGCCAGAAAAGCATCAGCTTAAATATTAAGTTTTACTTAAAAAGCTGTTAAAAAAAAAGGTTTAACATCACCAGTGTTAACCTGAATGGAGTATCAACCCACCAGCCTCTTCAAAGATCAGACATGATTTTTCACCCCTCCTTAAATTTGCAGAAAACATCCCTACAGCCTCATGGGTCCATGTTAATACTCACTACAAATATTCCATGCCAGTATTTTCCCAGTGAGACCCTTTACCTTCCATTTTCCCATCCCATCCCAGCTGACAGGAATCCAGATTCTTCCAGTCTTACTCCCATCCGCTTCATCAGGAGACCAGTTACAATACTAGAGCACAGTCATGAAAAGACCCAGGTGCTCAAGTTCACATACTTATGTAGAGGCATTGCCAGATCCGAGTATTAGGGAATATCAGTATCCATTACTGGCATTTTCAAGAGCACAGAAAGACCTTTCACCTTCAGTATGAGAACAGCCACAAGGGTATGTCTTATTTCCCCCTGCCCCATCACTACATACCCCTTCCACCTACATAATTAGGGCTACAGACTTGGTTTGATTGATTACCATGCTTGGGAATGTTTACACTGAATTGGCTTTGTTTCCTTTGTGACTACATAGCAAATTGTTTTTCTAGGGTTGCTCAAGAATATTTTATCACTAAAACGTACTAAGAGGAAAAGGGAGTATTCAACATTAAACCAAGAACAACATGGACTTTTAAAATCAAAACAGATGGAATAAATTTGAGGTATGCTAACCCCAACTGTGTTTCTAGTACAGTAAACTTTCTAGCGAGTTTCAGATTCCCATTTAGAAAAAGATAAATGCAACAGATGGCCATCTTGGAGAGAAAAAAACCCAACACACATATGATGATCACACACAGCAACACCAACCCAACAAGAAACCATTGAATTTAATAAAATCCCTATCTGCTGAAGTAGAGACAGCTTTGTAATTCAATAAAGTATTTTTAAAAACCTAATGGATGGAGTTTGTTTTATAATTTGTAGTCACAATAAGAAAAGAAGGCATTTAACTGCCATTTCTCCCAAAGTAAAACCCACATATGTTGCTCTGGCGGTGAGGTCAGAGAGTTCACGGAGAGTCCATAAATATATTCTTGAAGCTAAAGAAAAAGGGCAGGCAGCATGGGTTCTGACCCCCTTGAACTAGAAGATACAGTTACCGCCAACAAACAGGCAATTTTTTGAAATTGAAAGGGAAATGGGAATTCTCATTCTAGTCCCAGCTTTCTTAACACCAGAAACATGCACATCTGTGATTAATAAACCTTTTTTTCCCCTAAAAAAATAAATCAGCCATGTTAAGCTAGCTGATGACTGGAAAGACTCTGCTTCATATTACCTATTTCCATATTGCCTTCTTTACAGTTTTAGTTATTTACAAGGAGTGCAAGGGGCTATAAAAACCTGAATCCTTTACCTAGGGAACCAAACTCAGTCTGTTTGATACCTGTTCTGCACCTCTAAACCCAAAATGTTCCAAACCCCAAAATAAGAACATTTCACCATCTCTGGACTATGAAACAGGGATAGGGCAAGGAGTAAAAAATGGAGCAAAGCAAACCTAGTAACCCTGACTGGTGTGTCACACTGCCACTGGAGACCTGCCATCCACCGTGGAGTTTAGGACCAAGAAGCCCAGAGAACCCATCACACAGAGCAATTTACCAGCCGATCAGTAAGATTTCAGGCACGTACATTACAAATATTTGGGGTCAAGAGCTGTTTGTTGGTTCAAAGCCCTGAGAGTACCATCTACACGGATACGCTTGCAAGTTTAA